AATATTTCAGGGCATGAACTGTTGAAACTAAAAAAAAAAATAAATAGCTTAAGAGACACAAATCCCACCAATGCCAAAATATTACACAGCAGTTATCTAGCTTTGAAATTCTGAACTCTGGCCTTTAGAAGATGCTAATGGATAGAGGAACATGCAAGTAGATTGAGTAAATCTGATTTTGTAGTTCTGTTCAGCACTATTTCAGGCCTTTACAAGTCAAGGCCAGTATTTTCTCCTAACTTAGGGTGATAAGCTGGTTATGTTGCTTTGTCTTCACTGGGACACATGCAATGTATGAGGACTAGAAGATTTTTGGAATCCACCATTTTTTAAGGCTAAAATGTTTATGATTTATTCTAAGAACAGACCTCTAAGCAAATGTTTTTTTTCCTGTTGCTACCTCCTGTAGCTACAAGATTGTTTCTGAAGCTACAAAAACAGGACAACTTTTTTGACTGATGCTTACAGAAATATTGTTTATATTTTTCAGCATAAAGTAGACTTTTAAAAAACACTTAACAGGACCTGAACTCTTCTACAATATGTATTAAAAAAGGCAATTTTCTTAAACAGACGTTTACGTTAGGACTCAAAGAACTAGACTATTGATAACTACGAAATTCTCTAAACATTCAGATACTTTTAAGGCAAGCGTGAAATTACAGAGATAATATCTAGTCACTTACACAACCATGTATCACTTGTGAATCAAAAATGCATTATTCAGCAGGTTTATCACTATCTCATAACCAACCATTAAGCCCTGAGATCCATAAATTCAACCTATAAAACCTCTTTAGTATTTCCCTGCCCCCAACAAAACAATCTAAACGGCACCATGAAGAGGCTTCAAAAGAACACATTACAATGTTTAATAATGTAAAAGTTGCAATAAAAAGAACTAAAGCACTTACTACATATTTAACAAAAATTCTACTTCTTGTGGCATGATACTAAGTTTATCTGAGTTTGGTCCTTAACTCAGAAATACAGCCTGGGGCTAAAATAGAGGTTCCATATGCAGTCATGGCAATAACTGTAACCTCTTCAGCTTTTTTTCTTTACATGTAGATTTTGTACTCTACTGTGAGGGTAGAAGGTCTAAAATCTTCAGTGTGCAAAATATTATTCAAATAGATGGTTACACAGGTGCCAGCATCATGAACTGACAATTGCTTTCAAGGGCTGCATTGTGTGTCCAACATTTGACCAGAATTAAGGCAAAGTTACAGCTTTACAAATGGTATGTGATTATCATCAGAAAGAATCATTAAACTCAGTGATACCTGTTCTAATGATAAAGAAATTAAAAGTTCAGCCTTATCTTAGAAAATACATCCTCCTTCCATATGTGGAAAAACTAGGATAACCAAAGTTCATGTTGCATCTTGCATTCTATGATTTACAAATGCTCATGTGCCATCAAGAGGTTTTGAAACACCAGGACAAGCTCTTTGAACAGAAGGCGTTTTTTCCTGCACTTACAGAGCTTTCTTCCCCTTATCTTCTGCTCTATAACATAAATAAAACAGTATTTATGATACACTACATGAGATTTTCTTCTTTATTTTCTCTCATCCTCAGAGGTCTAGGAGCACTTGATATTTACAAATCACTTTAAGCTACATCAGATTTGATGATCAGATTTAAACCACAGTAGGACGCTAGTAGCATAAGACAGCTCTACAGTCTTGGAAACCTATCCAACTTGCTATGGTGTCTTCCTTCCATCACCTGGAATACCAGTCTGCCTTCCCTTGTGGATACCTGAAGGCCTTTAAACTATCAGTCATATTTCAAGGGCTGAAACTGGAACTTTACGCCTGTCTCCCTTACTGCCAAAATTGTCTACCACTGTCATTTTAGCAAAGGAATGAAGCAGTCTCTCTTCTGAAGCATCACATATGCTAAAAATCTACATAAGTACTATAGTAGCAGAGATATCCAAGCAGGATGTCTCAATGACTCATCTGAAACAGGCTGACTAGATTTGCAGCCAATCTGGTGCTCACAATTCAGGCTGTTATTTCGTACTATTATTGTGGAAAATTCTGAAGTTTCTTGCAGAAAAACCGAAATGGATTGGGAAGAGAGGATATGCCAAAGTAATGAAGGATCCATGAGCCTTTCTCTTACCACACTGCTCAGAAGTTCTTTTATAACACTGAAGAAGTGTCACTAACCGAAAAGATGTGCAAGGTATTGCCTAGTATCAATTTATGATAAAACAATCAGAACAGAAGTCTTCCCCACTCTTCACTGTCAAGCAAATACTTCTGTGGGCAAGTCTAATGAACTGGGAGACATGATCTTGCATAGATGCTTGGGTAACTTAGAAGGTGCAACACAAAATACTTATTCATAAAAGCATATAATGTCAGCAGTGCTGAAAGATTTAGTATTTGCTAATATTTCAGGATTCCTGACAAGGTTATGGTAATAATTACATAGATCCATTTCACCTAAAAGAGCAACTTAAGTTTTATCAAATGAAATTTCAGCAGTTGTCTCTTTCTGCTATGAAATACTGTCTTGCTTTATAAGACACCTGATATTGCTTAACTCTTTTCCTCCAAAATTCTTCTTCATTAGTTTTAAGATTAATCTTTCTCTGTTCCTCAGAAATAATTTGTCCCTCTTTCACATATCTATATAGAACAAACCGCAATACTGTGTTTTAGCACAAACAACCTGCTGGCCAGATACTACAGGATAATGCATTCCTCAAAATCCATAAAGATCTTCACTGTCTGATGTCCAGTTAATTTGGGGGACAATTATGTTCTTCCATCAGTCCAGACCACTCTAACCTCTGTTAGCCTAGAGGCTCAAGTGATCTTTCTCACTCCAAAGCAGATAACAATGTTCAGCTCCCCAATCCTGTCTCCTGAGAAGTCAGCTGTCCAGCACAAAACTCATCTCATTTACTTCGTGATAAACTGTGATATACTAACAAAACAACAGGCAAATCCTGGAACTGTCAGTTTAATTCCAAACATGTCTGTGCAACATGGAGATCACAGGTGCACAGCGACTTGGCTTTTGGCCACATAAAATTAATCTCAGGCAAAGAACAAATGTATGTTCTTATGTAGTCTAACCACAATTTTCTTATTTATATCTTAAACTTAAATAAGTTTATGCCTTATGCCAGAGCATGAGGGCAGAATGGTCCCTGGATGAGTATTATAAATTTAATGGATGTAAAGGGTTCCTGTAATGCCATAGGTTATCAAAAGATGGAATTGTCATGAGATCAGGTCAGCACTAATGTATTCATAGAAAGAATGTATATGGAAAAGAAATTCCAGGCAGGAGTAAATCACCTGGCCTGTATTTTATGTGACATATTTTCAGTGTAACAAGTGTTACTTATGCTAATAAATTACTAGTACACTTTTTTTACAGGAATAAGGACAACTAGAATGGGAAAGTAAGTTTGGGGGTGTTTTGGGTCTGGTGTTTGTTTTTTGGTGGTTTTTTTTTTTTTTTTTCTTTATTCATGAACTTGCTCTTCTGATTAAGAGGCATCTACGAAAAATTGTGCGTAAGGTGAAGGCCACATCAGCAGTGACACTTGTTTAAAGCATGCTGTTGCAGCTCTCAGAAGATGAGGCATTAGGGCAGAACTAGAGAAGTAAACCTATCTAAACCAATCATATGGTATCCAAATTCCTTAACTTTTAATTTTTTGAGTAGGTACTTGTGGGAGGACAACAGAAAGATGAAGTCCTGAAAACCTGAGTATTCCTGCAGATGAAAAAATTTGAGCTAGTCTGTCAAGTGCATTAATTAACAAATACCCCAAACAAGCACACACAATTTAATTTAGGAAGACATGTGAGCATGTTATTGAGGTCAACAGACTTTTAGGGCTTGAAAACATACCAAGTTAATTGAACAACAGGAAGCTATTAGCACATTAGAGTGTGCTGTTCCTTCTTTGCCGTGTACTGTAACTGCATCAATTACCTCAGAATACGTTTAATCAAGTGCAATTAAGCACCATATCATTTTAATGTTATTACAAGAAATGCAATAAATATTTAAAGAGAATTTTTAAAATGCTTTGCTGAATCCTGAAAATCCATTTAAGAATCTGAAATATGAGGCCAAGGGAAAACAAAAATCTAAGTGTTCCTTGTTTTGTTCCTGCAAAGTACCAAGGACTGAAACTTCAGACAAGCCAGGCTTGTCAATTTAAAAAATGGAATAAGAACACACATATTAAGAGACTGGCCAAGAAAATTAAAAGACACAAAAGGCACCACCTGAAAAAAAGACAATTAACAAAGTAACACTGTCATTAAAGAACATTGGACTAGGTGATATCAGCTGACCAACTTAAGAGAAATTGCTTGTGCAAGTGAAACATATTAAATATTAAATCAATGACTTATTGATGCACGAAAGTGTAAGGAAAGAATTCACCAGTACTAGAAGGGTATATCTGGTGTACAAGCAGTCTAGTCATGAACTTCTAGCACAGACTACAGTATAAGCAAAGCTCAAGCAAGAAACCTGTTACTATGTTTAGTGTGTTCAGGCAACAGTAGTCTATAACATAATATAGACGTACTCTGTCTCATCCTCTTTTTGTTCAGCTTCCTAACAAATGTATACAAGACAGTGAACTTTTTTGTTCTTTGAAAACAATCAGAGAAAGAGCACAAGCTTGCAAAGAAACACTCAGAAACAGGGGATTATTTTTTTTTTTTGCTAGCACAAAAAAAAAAAAAAAGAAAATAAGAAGTTTCTGGAATTACAAAATGGATGTCAACCATTACCTTTTTGTCGGTATAAGAACCAGTTTCATGGAGAACAGCAACTCTAAATGGAGGCCACCAAGTGTGCAGTTCTTTTACCCACTGATGCATAACAGTAGCTGGACAAATAATCAGTGTTGGACCCAACCCCTGGTACCTAAAATACAAGTATTCAAGAAAAAAAAACCTTTAACATGAAATAAATACACCATATTAAGTGGCGCATTATAATACACACATATCAAAATGATACACTTTATAGTTCAAATGTAATACAAGAGCTATAGAAATTAACTGGCACCTTGTTTTTCTGGAAGTCTGGAAGATGAAATGGGTACTGCTATAAGAACCTATCCACTCAACAGTTAATGGATGCATCTATCAAGACAAACACAGAAACAGAAAAGCTCCAAACAATAAGGCATAAAGGGACTTCCTCCTGTGGTAATACAAATCAGGTGTGGGTGACTACTGTTTCTATAAAAGAAAAAAAATCATTAAGAAACAACTATTTTATTACTTCTGTTAAAAAGAACGTGAAGCTAGAGTCTCACAAATGGACTTATAGGTGTTCTGCTTCATGTTGGTAACATACTGTATTATTATCACCATAATTTACAGATAAGGCAAGGACTCTAAACCAGCAGAATCTACCATCCATGGAAGTGGAGGTCTGAGCTGGACTTAAAACTGTCTCGTAAGTTCCTTATTCATAATCATATGATTGTTTCTGAGACTTACTGAGAGAAAAATCTCTGGCACAACAACCAAACAAGAAAAATTAACATCACAAACAAATACCAACAATTATATAGGAAATGTACTAAGTAGTGGTCACTAGTAGTTATTTTCCATCTGTATGTGCTCTTTACAAAACACAACAAAATGACTTTGCAAACAAAGGCAATAGCTACAGTTATCACATACTGATCTGTGTCTGGCCAACTACTATTCAAGCAGTAATAAACAATTCAAAAGACCACAGTATACATTCAAGATTGCATGTATATAGCAATAAAGAAGGATTTTCTGGACACCAGCAATACCCTGCTTTAAAAAAAAACTGTCAATGCCTTCAGAAACTGCTGATGTTAAGAAATAATATTCTTTATTAAAAGCTTATACATATGCAGAATAACCACCTGGACGTTCCTTATCTCTTTCATTATGAAAAAATACTATGTAACAACCTCACATAGTCTAATTAAAAAACTCCCAGCAATCCAAGGAGAAGTTAGAAGTTGGAGATGCAAAAAATACCTTCAGCTATGCTACGAATCCAAATACCCACTGCTACTGCTCTTAAAAATACCTATAGCAAAAGTGCCAACTGCTCTTAAGAACATCTATAGGAAAAAAAGCCAACTTTCCCAGAACATATTAGTTTCTCATTCTTCGTGGGCAGTAATAAATTGCCTCTGGTTATTACCTTGGTCTGTATGAAACAAGCTCACATGCTGGGTTTGATTTTTTTTTTCCCCCTCAGCTTACACAGAGTTCATGCTTCCTTTGATCAATTTTCAGAAAATCCACTCCCTCTCCACCCAGTTGTCTGAAATCTCTTCTCTCACTAGTCTGGCTCTAACCACTTTCCACTAGCCACTATTTTATTCTTCTTTTGAGACCCTTTATTCCTTTATATAAGAGACTCATGTAACTTCTTCCAGTCTGTGCTATTTCACAAAACTAAACAAACCATGAACTTCTGCTTGCTACGCTTAGGAGGCATCCTTCATTCTCCTAATCACTGCAACAGATTTGCTCTGCTACCCATCCAATTTATATTTCTTTTCCTTGAACAAAGGTGACACAATAACATTCCAAACCAAAGTCTTACTGCTGCCTTGTGCCAGGATACTAATACTGCCCTGTTCCTACCCCAAATAGATAGTCATAATGTATTCTGTCCCTTTTTCACAGCTGCACTGCACTAGCAGCTTATGGTTAGTATCATATATGATCAATATACCCAAATCTTTTTCTTCTTCTGTTGTTTCTGGTTTATAAAACCCAACTTCACAGCAAGTATCCTTTATTAGTTCTTATTTAATTGGATGTGATTAGAATTGCAAATAAGATCTACTCCTGCACCTTACTACCAAGAAAAATGAAGCTGTAGTCATACTATATTTACAATCTTTTAATACAGAAAAAAATTAGCAGAGGAAAACATGTTGCATTTTAAACACCTATATTGCCAAGCACTGGCAATTTGTGCCCTCAAAATGAAACTGAAATGACAACTAAGTCCTAGTGAAAATAAAAGAATAGGGCAGCAAGAGCAATACAAAGTTTCTGGGGCAAAGGATTTTTATTTATGTAAGCACTATGTAGATTAATCTCTCCGCCACTCATAGTAGAGATTGAACCTTAAAGTTTAATGTGTATGATTATACCTCAGTAACTTGAAGACCACAGATGAGCCAATAATCAGTGTGTAAACTTTATGGCAGAGGTTCTCATCTGATCTCTCAAATAAATTAAGCAAAGTCTGCAGTGAAAGGCAACATCTTAGTTAAAAAAAAATGTATTTGGAAAGAAGCAAACTTGTGGGCCCCCAAGCCCTTCGACAGATTTCAGTAACAGATTTCAACCTAGATACAGGCTAGAGATGGGTTACTTAAAGTTTGCTGCTGCTGCTTTGTTTTCTCTTGTGAAGGGACCATTGGTCTGAAAGCTGTTGCTTGTTCCAACTATCTCAGTCTGTCTAACAACAGACCTGTCCTCCTCTATAAATATTGCTTCCCTTACATCCTCACACCACTATAGCTATGATACCTCACATGACATTTGGCTTTCCCCAGCTGCATGACTCAATAACCGCTAAAAGTGAGACATTTTTTATTTGTGTAGTAGTTATACTCCATGTAACAAGTAGTTCCTTATTTCAGCTAGTCTTCAGGCTGCCTCAAAATCAGAAAAACATTGGAAACAGAAGCAATGTACAAAACGAAATTTTTACTCACCTTATTTGAAAGAATACCTTTGCAGAAAATTTCACTGATAGAAAATAAAGCTGAATATTTTGAATATCAACAAAAGCGATGCTATTGTCTTAATACTCAAGTGCCTCCAAATACAACAATCTTTGCAATTCTGCATAAGAATGACAGAATTATCTCCATTTTACAGAAGGCCAGCTAAGGCTGGGAAATCCTGCAGTGCCAGGTTCATACAGTGGTACGCTAGCTCCATCTACACATCAAGGTAACGAGATACAAGCTAGGCTGGAAGACATTTAAACATGCTGACAATACAACTATGTCCATCCACTCTTAATGCATGCTTCTCAGCCAGACTGACAGAAAGATCTTCTGCTTACAAGACTACATGGCTTTCAGAGAGAAGCTAGCTAGCCAATGTTACTGCCTTCCTAGTTCAGAGTGCAGATGGGGAAAACAGTTGACTACGCAAAGATCAAGTTGCTTAGACCCTCTGCCTTACAGCAGACAAGCAAAATCAGAATAAGATGCACCAAAAAATTAAACCTTGTTTCCTCCCATGAAATTACTATTATGATAATGACATGCACCAGCCAAAAAAAGAAACTGAACACATTATCCTACATGCAGAAGGAAGACTGCAACTTAGGTGTGCAACTATATTTTGGCCTCTTCCAAGTTTTATTGTAGTTTCGCTGCAGTATCTTAGATCTTAAGCTGTAACTGTGTAACAATGTCAAGAGATGTTCCTGAAGGATTTCCATCAACTCAGTGGTCCTCCTACTGGGGCAGGAAATACACCTACATGAAATCATCTGTACAGCATCCTTAAATCAGGCAGCCATATCAAAGTAAATCAACTGGCCTGAGTGATGGAGGACATGGAGTTTTTTATATAAGGGCTACAAGAGGATGCAACTGGAGAAAAGAGTCATATTTCCTCTTTAAGGAATTATTTTACAATTCATGTATATGCTGAACATAATTTAAATATACCTCCATAGAAAGTTAATTATTTTTGTTTAGTATAGTACTGTGGTATTTGCTTAATTGCATGTAGTAATTTACATCACGTAAATAGGCCAACAGAAGTAGAAAAATCAAGCATTATTCATGCATGCATTTGAAAATCCAAGGACACCAACAAGTATCTTTTCCAGTGATTTCACTCATTAAGATGGAATTTTAAAGCATTGCTCAATAACAAAAAAGCATAAAAGATCTTGTACGAAAGGCCAATCACTGTAGCACAGTTTTGAAAAAAACCAAAAAAAATAGCAGATGGAAATTCCTCTGTAAAAGCTACCACTTTTATTATTACTACTATTTTTTTTGGCATGGATAGTTCCCTGCCGATCAGAAACTCTAACTTTCATTGCAAATCAGCTTGCTACTTCCTGTAAAGCACTTACCTGGTGGCATGCCAGAACAAATATTTTAATGTAAAATTTAATAAATGGAACTAAAGGTATTACATCTAATTTAAAATTACATATTGTGTAAACTATTGATATTAATGTAATTGAGTTTGTAAACAATCCATTTGTGGAAGCTAACCTTAGACACTGTATTGACCCAAAATATCTAGTGTGGCTCATCTGCAAAATGAAGCATCAATGCCTGGAATTCATTAAAAGTGTTACATGTTTAATTTTTCCTGCCCTACAGCTCCATTGTCTCGTAAAATTTTTCCTTTGATGTCCCCCACTAAAAGAATTAAAGGAATATTGTAATTGAAATGTCATTAATAATTCACAGAACCCTCCTCCACCAGCAATACATCTGATGAAATATTAATTGAGCTCCACAGACTGACAGTCTGCAGAGGAGCACTTGCCTGCAATTTGAACCACGAGTCCTGATCTTGCTGTAGCTCAGGCTTGCCAAGAAGGCAATTATCTGGATGGTCTTGCCCAATCCCATCTCATCTCCCAGAATTCCTCCTGCCTGCTGGCAGTGCAATTCCCAGAGCCACCTAACACCTGTCTGCTGGTACCTAAAACAAGGAAAAAGAAGATGGCAAATATTTGATAACACAGATCATAACAGAAAGTACTCATGAATTAATAATTTGGCAAGGTTCCTATACTAGCAACAGTAACATGTTGGATGTGTGTTTTACATGAGTGCTGTATTTACTAGGTCATACATTTTTGATGCACTCAGATGCTACATGTGACTTTCATTCTTTATGCAATGCTAAAACATTTCTAATTAAACTGAGAGTCATGGTAATTAGAGGGTATTTTATTTCATGTATATTTTAAGTGTTAAAAGCAACTTGGAAAGCTCTTCTAACAAAGCATTATCTTTTCAGAAAAGACAACATGTAAGGTTCTATTAAATTATATTATTTGGAACATATACCTTGAACTGAAGGAAAAGCTTGACTTGTAAGGGGTACACAGACTTTATACTCCACTGTGAAAACAGATCACATCTGCCAAAGCATGCTTTCTTTTTTATATAAATTTGTTGAATAACGTTTAGTCTCTTTCAATGAAGAAAAAAGCCAACAAGGCAAAATGTTTTGGAGGGCAAAACAACATAAACTATTCCAGTGAATGGGATGCAGCAGAGCATTATTATGTGAGAGTTATCAGGGTAGTTTCTGCTTCCAGTCATTCACTGGAAATTGTGTAAGCAACAACATGAAATACATCCCAATTAAAAGCAGTACACTAAGAAAGCAAGATTTACAATGGCAAGCTAAAAAGGCGAACATAAGATGCTGGACTAAGAATAATTTTAGGACATGCTTTTAATAATGATATGGAATATCGAGACCAGTAGGAGTAACACACCATGTGCATGCATTAAATTGAAAACAGGACAGAAAGAAATGAAGAAGCAGTATATCTAAAATACAATTTAAAAAAATGTTTCAGCACTTCTATGTCTTGTAACTTAGAGGAAGAACATGGCTACCAATATAATTTTCTTGATGGTAGGCATTCCTAACAGGAAAAAGGAAAAAACCCTTTTTTTTTAAAAAAAAAAAAAAAAGGGATTGTTCATTTTAGGGCATTGTCCTGTGTGCATTTCAAAATCCTGTTTCATTCTTTGAACAAATAATATTTAGGACTACTGATAGCTAATGACAGTAGTTGAGTACAAAGTACTATCACAAATCAATTTATGATGAGTTCTGTATAGATTTAGAGAATGCTAAATGGAGACAAACAAACTGCTTGAGTAGTTAGAAAAAGATGATCAAAGAACACATCTAATGGTTCAGACATCATACTATCTGCCAGTGTCCCAAATGCATTATGCCAAGAAGCCCTTAAAAAACCCCTTTTATTAGAAATTAATTCACCTTAAAAATGTAGCAATCTAAAACCAACTATAAAGTGGCTTGCAGGATTAGCTACAATTGGGTTAAGATGCTACCATTATTACATTTTATGAAGACAGAACATTTTCTGACAGAAATATCAAAGAATTGGAGAGAACCCTAATTCCAGGTGGAAGCTGCTCCCACAGACTAAAGTCAAGCGTTTGTTCAGAAGACAACCATTCAAGAACTCCCTGATATTATTTTGCATTATTTCTTAGGATTACATTCAGTGCTTAAAAACTAGCTGCATTTACAAGCATCTTTCTCACTCTCCCCCCTTTTCCTGAGAAAGTTTCACAGCAGAGAATTAAGTTTGTGAAAAACTCCACTCCAAAATGATCTAAAAATTTAAAAGATGCAGGTGCTTTCTTTGCATAATCATATAAATGTGCAATAATTGCAACTATGCAAAAGTTAAAGTAAAAAAAAAAAAGTCCCCTGTCAATAATTTTTCATGGTTACATGGAGTGATAATCATAGAATCACAGAACGGTTTGTGTTGGAAGGGACCTTAAAGATCATCTAGGTCCGGCCCCCCTGCCTCATCCAACCTGGCCTTGAACCCCTCCAGCTTCTCTGAGCAACCTGTTCCAGTGCCTCACCACCCTCACAGTAAAAAAATTTCTTCCTAATATCTAATCTAAATCTATCCTCTCTCAGCTTAAAACCGTTACCCCTCATCCTATCAATTCACTTTAACCTTATGTTCTCATTGCACCAATTTTTATGTTTTGCTTTTTACTCCAAAAATACCATAGAATAAAAATGCTGCCTGATCTTCGAAAATACTTATGCTTGGACTGCATTTCACGAGCAATCATGCTATGATTCATCCCTCAAAATACACCACAGTAGCTTGCAGAGTTTAGCTGTATTGTTGCTGAGACAAAATTGCATTTCAGATGTATCAAGGAAATCACACACTGAAAGCAAATAATGAAGAAACCTGGTTTCTTTCTCAGGCTAAGTGCAGACACTACAAATTTTTGTCAGACTTGCTCACTACGTTTGGTTTTGTTCCACAGCAGCAGCAATGGTATTCTTGTTGAATGTTCCTCAAAGCAGACAAGTATATAGGGAAGAAACAGATTATCCACCTTCACAGGCTTACCAAAGAATGAACTTAAGGGTCTACTATTCTAGTGTGAGCTAACTTCTTTGGAATTCAATTCAACTATGCAGGAAGATCACTTACAGTATAGCACTATACACCTACTTGGGTCAATATACTTCCACGTTTTGTACTAAACTTGCTCCAAACTCAAATGTTTAATGCCTATTGACTATGGGCCTTCCTACACCGGAGATTTCAGCATTGAAGTTACAAGCCAGATGAATCATTCAACTCAATTGATCTTTCTAACCACTTAGGAACTTTTGCCAACTGACTCATGCTTGGGGGATACCCTTCATTAGTGAGTCTGATTTATCTAAGATTAATTTTTAGTTGTCTGCCTTATTTCTGTTCTTTGGGTTGCTCAGACCACACATCCGTTCTCAGGATGATTACTTCTGCAGTACCTTTGCATAAACAACTGGAGACCACATATTGGCCATGTACGGTCATGGCAACCAAGTCATTAATTCAATTCCACTTCAGAGCTAGTGCTTTCCTTCTGAGGAACTGCAGGAGAACACTAATAATTTCTTTGAGGTTAAGACTAAGTGGTCCTGTTGGGAGGGATACCACATACACCCATTATAAACCAGGGCTTTCACTACACTAATTATAAGATTCTAGAGAGTTAGCTTTTGAAAGAGAGGATGTTTTTCCTGCTGTGTGAAATGTTGACAACAAAAGAAATTCAAGCCTATTATACATGAAAGTTAAAGGACAGAGTATGGATGAAGTTTACTTGTCAGCTGCTAGCTTGTTTGGGCTGCCTTTTGTAAATAGCTTTCTGAGATTAACTTTAAAGTGCCAATGGGCACCATGGTCTCAAAAAACTGAAACAGAAAGCAGACATGTTCAAATCTGTAATCCTGCATTAAATGGCTAAAGTTGCAGAGTGTTTTCCATCTGCTAAAGGAATTAAGAATGCACTGTCCATACTTTAAAATTTTACTGGGCAAAATGTTCAAGACCATTTTATAATATGAATTATAATATGAATTATATTTTGAGTAGACTTTGAGCACTTATTTAAATAAACAGTTGTCCATATTTTCTGCTGAAAGAAAATTTCACTCACTTCACCCAATCACTGAAATACCTACATTTCTGTGTTTCATCACAGCTTACCAACATCCTGTTCTTCAGTTATTCTACCATTCCGCACTTGAATTAAAAGAAAGAACTTATAAAAGAAAGCATTTATAAAAATAGACAAGGAGAGCTTCTCAATTTGTAGTTTAGCTAATATGCATTCACAATATTCATGTCAGCCAGTTATCATTTGTATTTTCATGGAACTGCATTTTGTGTTTGTGATAAACTAGTTTATTTGAGGTTTGATCCAGGAGCCTTTTTTGAAGAAATAATCCTTCAGAAACAACTGAAGTAAAAGCTGAAACATCATTCACTGAAGTAAAAGTACAGCAAAGGCCATCCAGAAATCACCATGACTGTTACCACTCGTATTACTAACAGCATACATCAGCATAATTATTTAATTAAAATAAACTACATAATACATACTTAAAAAGCTTTTTAAAAATAAATCCTGGTACTTTGAAACCCTCTTCAAATTCACCGTCACTTTCTTCAGAAAGTTCCTCAGCTGTTTGACGTTCTTTCTCCTTCAGACGTTCTTTTTGCCACCTCCTAGAGTAACACAAGGAGTCAACATTCAAGTATTGCATAGAAAAGATACTATATGAAAACTACACTGAATTTTCCATCAGGTAAAAACCCAACAAAAACGCATTCTCTGATGTAATAATTTAAATAGTAATCCTTTGGAGGAGAGAATTATGTAAGTAAACACTCAAAAGTATTTGACATATTATAAGCCTTCAGAGTTCTATAGCTAGGCACAATTTTCTGTAGACAGATATAAAATGGAATCAAAAGCTAACACCATCAAAAAAATGTGGCTACTTTCAATCTCTAAACCTCCATAAAAACACCCACAAAAATATCAATACAATATTCCAAAAACGATTTTATTAACCTAACCAAATACTTAAATAGCTTCCTTCACCTAGAAAAATGTGCAGCAGTGTATAATCTTATACAGAGGACTCAGTTGGAAACATTGCCATGTTTGTGGTGACATGCTCCAAATCTGTTAAACAGTCATTAAGAGAATGAGTTTTTTGAGGTTTTGAAATCAGAGTGATTAGTGGTCTGCAGCCTAATCTTATGTGGACTCTAGGCAGGTTAGAGAATCACCTTCCCAACCCATCATTCCCCCGCCTTTTGAAAAACTGCCAAAGGATCATCAACATCCAAGAAAATCATGGACTTGTGTTTTAGTGACCCAAAACCAACAACCTGTAATAGTGAAGTGTATGCTACTGACTGCTAGCTGCATATGTACTAATCAATCAACAGCACTTCACTGACAATTTGAGTTTTGTTGTAATTCTCCCATTAAAGTGCCATTCACTGCAGGCACACTGAAAGTGGAGTATAAACTGACAAAATCCCTACAAGCTATAGAACAGATGAAAAATATCCTTATGTTACTGTTCTGGAAGCAGTGCAAATGCAGCCATATTTAAACTCACAAAAAAGCTGAAGTCTAGAAGTATCTAGAAGTATCTGAAATATAAAACATGACACTAAAATTTTTCAGGTCCCAAAGAACTATAAATAGTAGCAATGGGATGAAAAGAAGCAAATGAAAAATTCAGGCCAAAAAAAAAGTAAGTTAAGCCACCTAGCACTGAAATCTACTACATTAAGTGACAAAGAGCCTCCTGAGTGAGATGCTGGAAAACTCATCTGTCCAGTCTTTTAAGTCCACATTGAGGAAACCCTGGAGAACACACTCTAGAAAAATACTTACAGCCTGTCTTTATGGAACCAGTCACAAACTTGGAATTTTGGTATTGCTTTATAAGTCAAAATAAACGTACAAGCTACTATAACTGCCAAAAATGACTGCACTAAAAAACCCACTAAGGCAACAAAATGCTGGACAGGTTTAAAGAGCCAGTTTCACTGGGATATATTTTCATCTCTTAAGTCAGGAAGTCTTCAGAAGCAAAAATCATGATGGAGAGAAAAATCAGCATATGCAGGGGAAAAAAACAAGATGGACACAGACAGTCTTCAGTTTCCTTACTAAAAAGTGATGAGTTGATAATGTTTATTATTGGATTGTTCTTATTTAATTATATGAAATCATGTACCCAGTTAAGTAGTAAAAAAAGAATTTACTAAAAATATAAAGTGTTAACGTTTTCCCTGCAATACTTTTATGTATCTATCCTAATACAGAAATAGAAATCTCTATCTTAGACTAGCAGTCTGTTAAATGTTTGATTTAATAGTAACATTCATGCTCTGGAGTCTAGCAGGCAGATATGATATATTCTAGAGGCACAGCATACAAATGCATTTATTTTTGTTCAGTACTACAATGTTGTGCTATCAGGCACAGATGGTCAACTACAATTTTGAGTTCCAGAAAAAAGATCAACTATTCAAATTGACAAATGCTGACAGTCATTGGTTCAAACTGTGTTATTAGTGGAACTGAGAAATGTCAGAACTTGATTATTTTATCTGACTGGGTTATCACAAGACTCAAACCAAGGACTGAAACTCCTACTTACCACACTGGTATCAAAACAATTCCAGATTACAAAGCTTCTGAAGTGACAGCCAGGTAAAGAATCCACATTAAACTCAAGTAAGGCTATAATTTGTACAAGAGTTTGCTTCTAATTCTATATCACAATATGAAATGCAACTAGCCAACACTGGAGCTTCAGTCTCCCCTGGGAAGAAACTGATTGCCCTCTAGTGTACATTAGAAAAAGTGATCCAGAAACAACCAAGAAGAAATGTTTCTGAGATTAGCTCATGGCCTTCCAGGAATTTAGGCAGTTCACCTTAATATAACTTCTGCATGAAGGGATGTTGGGATTTCTCTTAAAATTATTAGATACCTAGAAAATACATATGTCTAGAATTTGATCTAATAAATCCTGTACTTAATTTTCCTAAATAAAATTTTATTTTATACACACTGTTATCTGTGACTTTACTGAAGTGTGTAATTACGCAAGCTGTAGTACTGAAGGCTCTGGTGCTACACCTCTTCCAAAGGCCTGGAAGTTTTTTTGCCCTCAATTACGAGTTTAAAGAAAAAGTAGCAATTTGTTGCATTTTGTTGTCACCACGAACAACTTCCAAAGTCTGAAGAAGCTACTCAGTTTCTGAAAGGCTGTGAACTTCATGTAGGACATTGTATTAAGATATTCTACACTAAAACTTCACATTATTTTCTTTAAAAATTTGTAAACATCTAAACGGCTGAAGCAATGGGAGGACAAGCACTATTTGCCAGACCAGACCAATCAGTTGGTCAGTCTGGTCTTGTACCTTTCCCCAGAAATCAAACTTTGGACAGGGAAACAGCAGTAGCTCATATTTGACTTAACTACACAGTAACACATTGACCATTTGGTCAATATATTGCTTATGCACCTCAGTGAAATACCATCAGTATGCCTGAACAATCAGAAATTACAGGTTTTACTATATCACTGTCTCTTGAAAATAAAAGCATGACCTTTGAGAATCTATTTTATGTTGTACATGGTCACTGACATAAATACGATTTTATCCTGAAAGTGCAATATGACAGCCATATACAATACAACTAAATATTTCTTAATATAAGAATGTATTCAGATACTAAGCCCATTTCACACTTACTGCAATACTCTAGAAAGAAATCCTGCATCCAAAACAGTAATGAGTCCAATTTGATGTAAAAAAAAAAAAAATCCAAACCAGTCAGGAACCAAGCTGAGTGTTTAATATAGCTTGCATTTGTGAAGCACAATATGTTTTATATTTTAGACAGCTAAGAATCACTTACAGATTATTCTAATTTGCTAAATTGAAGCATTTGGCATTACTTTTCTGATCTAACTTTTTATGATATATATGGATGGATTTAATCGGTATGTCCTAACGGATGATACACATGCTGTTAGTACCACAAGTCTCTGTAATTAAATTAAGAGTGATGTAGACAATTACACACTTGAGCTTAGAATGAAAGGTGTACTCAGCAAGTAAGCCAAAATATATCTTCATCTGTGTCTTGGCTTTGTCATTTTAAAGAGCAGTTAGGATGCTCTAAGAAAGTATCTTTCAGGTAAGGTAACATTTAATCCTTTTTAAATTTATAACTCTGAAACATCAAGAGATTCAGTGACTCAGATACTTCAAAGAGACCTAGCACATGAAAACTGATCCAATTTTTGAAAAAAAAAATTATTTTTAAGCAGATTTTTTTGGTTTGATTCTTTGTATCAACTGCTTTGTGCACTGATAGCCACAACTTCCAGCTACTCAGCTGCTAGGGTATCACTTAGGAGACATTGTAAGAAGCAGCTTTCCTAGCCTTGCTTCTGAGCACTCAGCAGCAGCTGAAGAATTCAAACAACTGTGCTCCACAAACTATACAGAATACACAAGAAAAGACAGATACGGCACTTATATCCCATAACATGACATGCAATTCCTTCCGTGAAGCAGCAGGCAGATAAATACTGACAACTGCTGTGGGAATAGTGACCAGAAGACTGCTCATTTTTTTGTTTTGACTCCAAGCTGTAACCCTAGGCAGACACTGTATTAGTGATGTCAGTAATGTAACACATTAACTACATATATTATAAGCAGCAAAAATTAGTTGGTTATACTTATGATTTGCATTTTAATACATGCAAAGGAAAACTTTAATTAATATGAAAAAAAAAAAATCTTGAGAAGTTGCAGTTTCCACATCTGCAGTCTTGAGAATAGCACAAGAAAACTATGCGGCAGTTTTCTTGCTGGGAACACAGAAAATGTTTATTTTCTATACATTAATCTGCATACAAGGTTACTTTCATTTTGTGATCCTAGGTAAAAGAAGCTGAAAAAAGCATTTTCACTCATTCCATAGTCTTCAAAGAAACTGGCTCTGCCATGACCTGACCATTCCACCAGGCAGGAAACAGTAGGTTAAGTAAGATTCCACCAGCACCAATTTTGAATGCTTCTATACCAAGATGTTCACTGTTGAGTATGACAAAATATACATTGCTAACATATCTGCTGATGGGGACAAAGCCTCTGAGACCTTCAGCACCATCTAAGAGACTGCTTGCCTAATCCTCTGGGTTCAGCTGGTAATAGCCAGTATGGAGGACAGTTGGGAATGATGATATGCTATTTTTCATTGAATCTTAAACTTACCTTTTAGCTCCTTGACTTTATACTACTTATTTACCTTACTCTCCCTAACCCTGATAGTTCCTTGCTACTGTTCATTATTCTTGCAAGCTACGATTCATCTTAGATGTTAAGCTTTTCAGATTTTTCCCCTGCATATCTGCACAGCAAAATGGCTCCCGTAACAGTACCTAGAGAAAGGCAAGACCCACGCAAGGGAAAAGAATTGAAACTACTGAGAGCGTGAGCCAAATTCGTTATAACTAACTTTTACTTTTTCATGTTTCACTGATCACATCTTGCCTTGAGTGATTAGACTGGCAACTGCAAGTAGCCTTTAGAAGGAAAGGAGAGAGTCAGGTGCTCTCCTGCCTGCCCTGTTTACTACAGATAACACCAGCTGCTGTTTTGGAAACAGTCTCTTGTTCTAAAGATGCTTTGCAGTCCCACAGCTAGCTAATTATAATGCTTTAACAACATCATTGTAGTTTCCCCTTGACACAGACCAATCTCTTCAACTCCCATCTCTGAAAAGTTTTAATGTTAAGCATACCCATTTTCAATCTTTAAGAGTGTAGGACTGTATTCAGCACCAAGCACAAGACTAGATGTTCAGAAGACTAAAGTAATCCTCAAGGATTTTCCCCTGCCTTTCTCAGGGGTAAAATATACCATAATCTCACCCATTCGTTTGCATTCAAAAGTAAAACTGACATGAAACAAGACATAAATGTAAGCAAATGACAGCATTTCTATAGCATTCTTAATATGTTTCTTAATTCACCACATTTTATTTTCTCATGGCATTTCCCATAATGAAGATTACCTGGGGGTGTCAGCATAAAAACATCAATGTGGACAGCTGCAGCTTAACAGCCACAATAACTGTAGCTATGAAATTTTTAAGAGATGTAGTGTTTTGGTAGCAATTACAGTTATTGGTATTTCTAAAATTCATTTAGGCTTTTATTGTAACTTTAGTAACCAGAAGAAATGTATTCTGTGATATGACTTTGCTAAGGATAAATTGTCACAATCTTAACGTTATTAAAAAATGTGTTTGAATGAATTTAAACTGTGAGTCATATTAAAACTTTCAATCAAAATAAATTACTCTTGATGAAAACTCTGAATTAAAAATGATTTAATATTGGTCTAATTTAAATGTGAAGAGTACAGTTTTATTCAATAAAATAGTAAATACTTTACCAATTAAGTACAATTAATTTTTGTTAATGCATAAAAAACATATTTCTTTTTGACCCTTTGGACATTGTTCAGATTAGCCTCTTGTTGAAATCTTCTATTCAAGAGCAATAAACTATGCTTTAACTTTGAAAAGAAGCATCCTGGGAATGAAAACCTACTGCCTCATATCAGCTCCTAATCTGCCTTCATAACCTCGAATGTGAAAGTGAAGTTGGGCTCTTCCTAGCCAAGGTTTTGGTACCACTACATCTAAAACTGTGAGTATCTCTGAAGACACCTCTTCCTCCACAGCAACTCAGGCTCTCACCACAAGAAGAGATGGTGTTTATAACTCTACTTCTTGACCCCTTCTCTGATTCAGCTTCATTTAAATCTGTAAGATTTTATATTTCCATAGAAGTGTAAAATTTGAGTCTCCCAAGCATTGACCATGTTCCTCTGCTAGGCCTTATCACTGCATTAATCACCCTTCACTGACAGCCCTAATATACGCATTCTTCCTTTCACTCTAAAGCAGCCGTTTTCAAGTTGGAATCCATTATTTTCTAGAGGACTATAAAACTAAGGACATTCACTAAAGGTAATAAATTAAAAGTATGCTATCAACAAGCTGAAGTTCATTTTATGAAGCTCAACCCTTCTACTAGAAAAGAGACAACATGCCAGCGGTTAGAGAACAATTGAAACAAAGCAACCAGCTTAGTGATTTGATCATTTGACTCCCAGTATGTGCAGAAATGTCTCTTAACTTCGCTGGCATGTCTAGCTAGCATTTTAACAGCTAACAAATTACATGTTCATTGCCCCTTCAAAATGTTTTCCAGGCAGCTGTGAAAATGGAAACATTGTACAGTCTTATGGTTAGGAGCTCAAGAGATACGCTATCAATAGACAAAACATCTCAGCAGCGCGCTGTAGCTACAGAGAGATCATCAACACACAGGTCATACAAATTTCACAAATCACAGATTAGCACAAGGTGTTTCAGCTGACATTTTCAAAAATAACTTGTATTCTTAGCTGTATTTCCCCACCTAACATACTAGACTCTACTTAGAAATCTTACTCAGTTTACAACCTTAGGTCATCACAGCAACAGAAAACACCACTACTACCACCACTGTCACTATCTCTTTAGATAAGGATGTTTTTACCCTCACTCTCATCAAGAACAAAGAGATGAAAATCACAGTCAGACAGAGCAGGTCTTTTTAGACTTGACTAACAGCATTATAAATGTACAGCCTTCATTACTTATGTCTTCTAATATAAGTTACGCAAGAGATACCATGTGCTAATAATCAAATAATATTGTCCTTTCCAGTAGAAATTTTTACAACTTTAAATTCAAAAGATCCTTTTAATATTGATTTTCAAATTAGCCTGTTAGCCATATAAACTGTAGGTAATTGCCTTGGATTTCAATAAACTAACAGATTCTACAAAAATAGTATGTAACTATAATTCATTCAAATAATTTCTCCTTGACTAGCAGTTAATTATTTAAAGTAAAAAACTAGGCATTTCACACCATCCCAAATGAAAGATTTCTCTCTCAGTGTAAAAGTGGCATCCCTCTGAAGAGGGAGGGCATTGTCTGTCTGCACTGTAATTTTGCCTATCAAACATGAGACATCTTTTTTTTTTGAAAGGTAGGTATATGATCTGCAGACAGAGGCAGTACTTAAGCGTAAAGCTGCCAAGTAATATGCTGTTTTAGATATACTTGATTTTGGCCATACTTGTACAAACAGCTTATTATTGAAGGACCTAACAATCAGAAAAATCTAGGAGCAAAGTCCTTGTAATTAACAGGTATGTATGATTCCATCTGGAACGTTACAATCATTCTGACTGTCTTGTTTTCCTTATTTCAATTTCTAACATTGTATTACAGACAGTGCCCTTTGCATGTTCAGCATAATTTGCTAATGTCACTAATAAAAACATCTAGGACTAACCTTAGTCTCTGTTTATAATAGTCTTCATCTCCATCATCTCTGCATCTCTTTTCTTTGCGCTTCCCCAGTGTAGGCTCTTCTTCGTCAGAGCTTGGAAAGAAGTCAGGATCATCTTCAGCTTCTTTAAAGTCTCTCTTCACCACGTATTTTCTTTTTCTTGACAAATTCTGGAGCTCATAATCAGAATCATTCTCAGCATGAGAAGATGCCCGCTCTAAAAAATCTGGATCAAAGAGCTCCTCATCAGGTACATACTCAGACTCTCCACTATCATGTTTCTCTTCATGAGATTTCTTTTCTTTTGGAATCTCTGCCTTTGAACGAATCTGAAGGGCATGCTTCTGAAGTTTTCTCATGTGTTTTTTTAAGCGCTTATCTGTTTTTGACAGGGCTTTACCCCCTTTTTCCTTTGTAGTAGATGCAGGAGCTACGGACTGAACTTTTTTGGCTTGTGCTTTCTTCTTTGCTCCTTTGTGAACGGATAACTTCTTTCTTTCAGATGACAGCTTATCTTGGTCTGCTAAGTACTTCTCGAAATCAGATTCTTCATTTAACTGTGGTGTCTTCCCCTCTGACTTCTGAGATATTTTAGTTCCAAATGGAGTCATTTGGCCAGTACGAATAAGCTCTTCCCACTCTGCTTCCTGAGCAGGCATAAGCATACTGCCAAGACATGATGGACCAGGTTCTACAACATAAATCAGAACATCCAGCATGCCTTTAACACCTTCTGAATAACTCAGACACAGGAACAAGGGTGATTTGTTTCAGTGACATGTCCTTCCCTCCCCCCACAGCTTTATATGCATTCAGTCCAGTTTTTATATACAACCTCAAAGTCCAAATTATCATGACACATAATACTTGAAGTTCAAAAGAGGCAAACCCCAACAAAACAGAAGGCCAAAAGAGCCAGAGTGTAACTTTTACTTCAAACTACTTCTCAAACTTCATATAGGAAACATTACACATACTATCACAATGCAAATACATCTGAAACAACACACAGCAGCAAGAACTACCATAAAACTACAGTCCCTCATGGTAGAGGAACTCTAATGTGCTCTCTATGCTGTCAATTCAACCCAACCCATGCCACAATGTTCAGTGCAAGAAACCACTGCGTTCCCATGTGCAGTGACATTGTCCATTTCTATCTTACTATTTTTCAGTCCTACTCATTAGCTTGAAATTTGACATTTCCATTACCATACCAGGACAGACACAAATCTTACAAAACACATAAAAAACACTGTCTTCCTGCATGCTTAAAAAACCAAAAAAACAAAACCAAAACATAAAACTCATCTTCCTACTTGACCATACTAATATCAGGATTATGACTTCAGAAGTCAGACTGGCTGCACAGCATGTTGCCATAACAGAGCCCTCAAGTTAAACAGCATATACAGTTGCTATACATATTAACACAAGCTATTATCGGTATTTGAAACCAAAGAGGGGGAAAAGCTCTTGAATTCAGGAAACTGAAGGCGAATTCCAGCCTGAAATCTATTATCAGGGTCCAAAATTTCAAAATAGCTGTACCAGAATTGCCAGCACAGCATGCTACTGTATATGGTCCCATTTAAACCACTGTATTTATCACCAAAACATGTTTAATGACTAACGATGATGCATCAGGCATGAAACTCCTCCCTCTCCACCCCCTCAGTTTCTCAAACTACAGGAACTGCTCAACTCCATTTCTTCTGTCTTGGGCTCCATTCACTTCCTAGTTACATTTCACCACACTGGGTGCCCGAGTTTTACTGCATTCAAAGAAATAGGATTAAAGATGCTTTTCTACTAAGAAAAAAGAGGTTTTGACTCCTCTAAGTTTTGCTGAATCAGGGGGGAAGCATGAGCTCCATGAGATCTGGAATCCACTCCAGACATCTACAATGGACAAATAGCACAGAGTTTATACCTCTGCAAACAAAAATACAACCCAAAGGTGACACCCAGATGTCATGGGGTCCACACTTTCCCTGCAGAATACTGCAGATTAGTGACTGTGGCCAAGACACAGACAAACTGGGGTTACAAAATCCAAGCTCAGTTTGCAGAAGGCAGTAAGAAAGAACACCTAGTGAAACACTGAGAGAACAAATATACTGCTTTGGAAGAAGCCTTATTTTTATTTTTTTTAAATCACAACGTAGCCTGAAAAAGAGAAGCACTTCCCCCTTCCATTTCAAGTGATGCTTCCCAACAGTAAGAAAAATCAATTTTGTTGATGCTGATTGATAGCATCCAGCATATAAATTCTAATTCGATCATGATGTTAGTCATCTTTATCAAATTAGCTGTGAAAAAATGTTAGGATTTCCAATTTATTAAGCCCAATACTCTAATGTGCCTTAGCCATCCCTACTGAGCTGAACATGGATTAACATCCATTTTTTAAAACTTCCCACATGAATATGCCAAGATCTGCAATTCTGCAGGTGCAGAGAATAAGTGTTCTTAACTCTCTCTTTCAAAACAAACCACTGAAACTTATCTCCTTACTGGCAAAGATCTTGCAAACTAGCTTCAAACAAAAAAAGGCATTACATCAAAGTAGAACAGAACTTTCAGTCTTCTCCCATACCTTCATCTTCTTCGAATTCAACATCATTTATTTCATGAAGAATCTCTGTTTCACCAAGAATTGCTTGCAGACGCTTTTGTTTTGCTTTGATCTTCTTTAGCTGTTGCTCCTTGAATGACAAGTAGATACATAATTTAATTTTTAGTCTGGTTCATAAACTTGCTATCCTTTTAAACAATACTTAAATAGCTAGATTTGCATATTTTCCACCAGAATGTCATATTCAAATGCTCACAGTATTCCACTTGCAATGAAAAAAAGCTCAAAAAAGTGTCACCACAATATCTGTAGGGCTCCAGCACACAGAACACACACAATTTTTTGTGTACAAACATCTCACATGTGTACAGTAGGATCGGATTGTTTGTACACACAAATTTCATGTGCACTTTACACATTTTTATGTACATCTGTTGAGGTAATTTTATGAAAGTGTTGATTCTAGTGAAGGAAGCCCATCAAGTGGATCAGCGAGATGCACAAAGAACACCAGAAGATGTTTTCATTATTTGCAAGACTGCATTAATGGTTATTAAGCCACTAAAAACAGCTATAACATTTAATAAGATTTATTTAGCATCCCAGAAGTTTTGGAATGTTTTGTTAGAAAGAAACTGAAACTGTAAATCTGTCCATCATCCTAATATATGTTTGTACACAGTTAATTCAGGAGTGGTCACAGCTAATTTAACAGTGAAAACTACAAGTGAAATGACTTTAAAAAAATAAGTGAAAAGAATCAACATTACAGATGCTATAACACAAGTATAGTCCAAATTCGCAGCTAGCTCTTCTGTTACACTTTTTATCTGATTGTAATATCCTCAATTGTATACTTACTGGTGATTTTGTGATTCTTTCATGTTGCTAACTTTCACTTATGAAACAAGACATTCTAACCAGTAAAACAAAGAAACAGGCAATATAATTTCCACATCTGTAATTCCATTCTTTGGAAATATTTACTCATCTAGGGAGGCACATACTTCAGTAAGAATCAAGTTCATGGCACAATGACCAAATTTTTTTTTCTTTTTGGTCAGGAATGGCTCACTAGCCTGCCCATGTCTTCATGTAGCACTTTTCAAACCACAAAGGGTAAGTACGTCAATGTATGGTACAATATATTACCTCCTGGGTATGCACTAGTATCCTTGCTACCAGAGTACCTCCCTTCATAAAACATTCCCTATATGACAGCTCTAAGGAAATAGCTGTCTTGCACCAGTCATTAATTTCACATTTGTCTCAATAATGGAAGAATTCAGTCTTCTTCAACTATTTTTTTTAATACTACAAAAGGTACTAAAAGGCACGTCTCCATGCAAAAAGTAGCTCAAGACTAGCTTTAAATACACTACCTGCCTCCAAAGAGTCTTCAAAACACCCTTGAGGTTATTAGGGCCACTTTTACAGATTACAGTTTTCATACAAGGATCTATTCTTACACTTCAAGGACTGTTGGAGATGGCTAACAATGAGTTTGCAACAAGGTTTTAATTTCCCCTGCAACTAACACTTAAGTAAATTACTTCAAGTAATATGCAAACAACCAAAATACGTGTCCAATTACATGACCACTCTTCAGTGGAAAGTCTGGTTTGATGCACTTCTTCCCACTACTTCCAGCTACTTGTTCCTAGTCCTACGCCACTGTTCAGTGCTGTCCCTCTCACTCTCTCAATTGGCCAAACTGTAAGCACAGTGTTATCAAGGTTGCTGAAATGATCAAAGTTAAAAACCAAACAACTGAATGAGTCAGTGGCAAATGGCCTGAGACAGGGAAGAAGTGTCTGAGGGCAAAGGGCAGTAAGTTTATCGGTCAGATTTATCATTGGAGTGAATTTCCATCAGATGGTGGGCTCATCAAAGTGCTATATTCTTGACCAGGAGAAGTCTCCCTTTTCTCAAGTCTCCTCCTTCCTATTCACACCTGTATAGGTCTATTGCTTACATTACCCTGATGCCTGCTAGATTGCTCTACAAGCTCCTTTAACTTACTACACTGGCAGAAAAAAGCTGGAGCAGTTTCTGCCAAATCAATGAGTTAAAATGGCTCACAGAAAGGAATGATGTGTACTGGTACAAGAAAGATATGGACAATGAAAGAGGATTAAGGAAAGGAAGGTAGTGAATGAACACCATAAGAGCTGAGATTTAGGTCAGATATTGAATCATGCCCTAACAATGCTTTGCTAATTCTCCAAATACTACTGGGAGGGATTTAATTAAATTAATGCAAATCATTCTGCCAACCAGGTCCTGGAACCTCAGTTTTACAGCTTGCTCTGAAACTTCAAATAAAAAAAAAAATTAGGTCTCAATTTCACATCTTTAAATCAGCTATTTGCATTTTTTGGTAGAAAATCAAACCATTTAAAAGGAAGGAACAACAACTGTAGACTGACTCTGAACTATATAATTAAGCAAGAATTATATCACATAATCTAAACCTTAAGCCAAAGTATAAGCTAAGTATTGTCAGCAATAAATCAATGTAAACCAATCACCTTGTTATATTTTTGACGTTTTACAGAATCTAGTCTTCTATTTATACTTTTGTTGTCAGCAGCCTCAGGTGAAAGTTGTTCAATTATTTTGTCTATTTGTTTCAGAGATGTTGTACATGATCTGAAAAAACAAGAAGACTGCAATGTACTAGTCAACTCTAAAAAGAAAAATAGCACATTCTCGATTCAGACAATTTAGAAATTCCAGGAGATTTAAGGTAAGATTTTAAAAGGTCTAAAGGTAAGTTTCTAAATAAGCATTATATATTTAAACATCACTGGAAATACTATGCACTTTGAAAATATTTTATAATGTACAACTCTTTAAAGTATTTTTGCTAATACTAAAATTCCAAGGGCAAGGAAACTGAACAAACCACTGTAGTATTTAGTACTCAAGTCTGATGATGATAATAAGCAAGTGACAGTGGTTGCTTTTATTATGCTAACGCAAACCAAAAATCTGAACAGGACATCCTATGTTTTCATTTTCTAAAACTGTTTTAATAGTTTTATACCATTATGTAAGGAAGCCCATTTCTTTTTACCTTTACAATGTCTCTTTTACACAAAGAATAGATAACAAGATACAAATACAGTTTCAGGAAGACAGATTAGCTCAAAGAATTAACAGCACATCAACATTAAACTTTCCTTACTCATGCACTACCATGTTTCATGTTTCCATGTACAATATGAAATTCAGGTTGAACCACATGATATAACCTAATATCATCTGTTTCTACTGTTGAATTTGTTTGCAAGGAAGGAGGCACTGGCCCGCCACCAGAAGCAACAAGTCTAAGCTTGTTGATTCAAATAGCAGAATATTTCATAAAGATACACAAATTAGCATCCCAAAGTATTATGAAAAATGTGAAAGAAAACTCTTTACAACACCTGCAAAGCAGCCATTATTCCCCTTATATGCAAAGAAAAGCACTACATAGGTCTCCTCAACCGTCAGGAAGGAAATTGTTGGGTGACATTTCTCTCTAGCTCTAATCTGTATTCTACCACTGTCTTCCTAGGAGATGTATTCTACCAGCTCCCCAGCTATCACTGATACCTTCACTTCTCTGTTCTACTTCAAGACTTTTGAATCATGCCACCCCCTTTCTCAACCTCTTGTTTTGTTGCTTTGAAGCATACCATCCTCTTGTGTGTCTCCTACCTTTTGGCTCTTACTTCCTTGGCCCTAGGGTCTCTTGACACATACCAATACTGTCATCTTCCATAAAGCTTTATTTAACAGGACTGCAGGATTTACACAAGATTTAACTTCAACCATTTTTTATCCTCCTTCTTCTACTTAATTTTGTGTGTACATTATAGAACCACATAGCTGCTACCATGAACTCTGTGCCAACTACTCAAAAACCACTCCTTGCCTGATTTTACCTCTAATCACTCATTCAATCTTACAGGACTTTAACAAACTCCATGCCGTACTACTCATACACCTCTTTATTTTTGTTAGTCCCTCTGCTCAACAAGCCAGCTATATCTCTGCTAATTTTCTCCAAAATAATCTTTCAGACTTGCACATTACATCTTATACAGACAAAGTTCTACAGGTCTGCATAAATCATTTGCATCCCCTTACATAAATCTCATTTTACGACTTTAAGTGGAAGGTGAAAATAGAGGGGTATGAAAAAATCATAGATAAGAAAACCAGGAAAATATCAACTAATTGACAGCGCTGTGCACCACTCTTTCAATAATTGCATAATCTAATTGCAATAGTTACGCTGCTCCATTCTTCCTCTCAATGACCATCTTACTCATTACATCCTTCTGCTATACAACATCTGAAATTAGGTTCAAGTTTTGCTAACTTACTTAATTTCACATCTCCACACCCAAACTGGAAATTTAATGAAGTGCATAAAATTAAGCATATACATAACAAGAGAGCTATGTAAGAGTTCACACAGGTAATGGAGGCCTACAGCACTCAAGCAGTAAAAACCAACATGAATGCAATACAGTGAAAGATGCACAGGTAAAATTATTAACCTGCAGTAGTTCACACAGTAACTGTACAATGAGACTATAAACAGAAAGGGAGATCTAAGATCAAAACTCAAAAAGCTAGTGGCTCCTATCCCCCAAAGTCTTCTCCTACCAAGATACTATGTTACTTAATAATTTGATTATTTTAAGGTATCATTGAGCACTTCATACAAGTACTTGTGATAAGGTTGTTTTGGCTGTAGGACATTCATGATATGGACTCATCCAAGTTACAGAAAGCACAGAAAGAGAAGCAGATAACCCCATGAAGCATACAGAATTGAAGAAGTGACACTTTTTCTGACTGGAACTTTGAATAACAGAATATAATGCAGTTATTCACTGCCCAGAAAACAGACATGCATCTTGGTCAGGTAGGAGACAAAGCAGAAAAAGGAGATGCACTGTCCTCTACGACCCTGATGCATGACTGACTTAGTCAAATAAGAGCAATGAAGCATTGCACTGATATGAATAATATTTTCTCTGTTTTTAAAAAGTGGGTGACTCAGAAGAGTATATGTGACCTAGTGCTTTCAAAACATCTTTTTTGTCTTCCAGCTTTTAAAAACATGAGACACAGAGCCTCATCAGATAGTCAGTAACAGAAAGGAACAGTAAGAAAGGACACAATTTACCTTAAGTCATCCAGCACTGACTGATATTCTTTCTTCGCACTGGCTACTTTTATTGCTTTATTAGCTTCATTAATTGCATTATCTACTTGCTGAAGAACTCCTTGCTCCAATACATCCTGGTCATAGACATCAACTCCTAAACCTTCGAGCTCGGCAGCCTGTGCACTGTCTGAGACGGACTGAATCTGCTGCCTGTTGATCTGTAAAAGGGGTTGTCCTCTTCTGGGTACTTCCAATGGAACAGTCATGGAAGTGGATGACTGGCTGTCAGAGTTCGGAACTCTATTACTGTTATCCAGGTGACTGCTACAAATGCCATTTTCTTCTTCAATTCCAAATTCCTCAGCATTATGCAGGCAATTATTGCTTGAAGTAGTAACAGGATCTTGTTCTTGGGTACTGTCTGGCAGGCGGCTGTCCTCTGTTGGCATCCTCTACTCAAAGGCAACACAAAGAAGAACCACATCATCATAAAAACATTCACACCACAAAGTTCCTCATGAAAACCGTGCCCAAACAAAAACAAGCACAACAATGAGCATGCTTCTTTAGGAGAAATTCTTGTTTCAGAACACCTACTAGTCTACTCCTCCATGAGTCCTTCCCTCAAGGGCTTCTCCACACTAGTTTCCACAATCAAAAGGAAAAAGTGGCCAAAACTTCTTAAAGACAACTATATGGAATACTCCTGGAAGATGCTGACATCAAGACAAATTAAACAATCTGTAAAAATTACTCTCCTTGCCACAGAGTGAAGTCAATCCTATGCCTAAACGGGCTCCAGAAGACTATGACCTAAAAAAAACACATGCAGCTTAACATATCCAAACCCAGAAAGGACACGTTTTTGAAACTGATCAGAACAGATGGCTGTAGGCTGCAGTTTGAAGTACGACATAAAGGATCTAGTTGTTATGAAATTGACACTGGTCTGGCTTACCAAGGCAAGCCTGAAGCTGGTATAGTTTGGAGCCTTCAGGGTGAGACTGTCTTCTGAAAGGACGTACTCTGTATCAACATCGGGGAGAAACAACTGTCATTCACTTGCAGGAAGTCATTAATAAGGCAGGTGGCCTTCAGAAGCAGCCTCTCTCCGCACGGCAGCCCGGAGATCCTCGCGCAACGGGTCTGGCCCTGCGGTTACACAACAGGCTCCATGGCAACCGCGCACCGGCCGCTTCCCCTCCAGGGACCCCGGGCCC